CTCTCATGCTCTTACTTGTTCTCTTTTTTCTGTTATGTCCTGTGACTAAATATAACCCATTCCTATGTTTTTTTTCTTTCTGAGAGAGCACAGCTCTAATTGCAGATCCACAGCTCATCAGCTGGATCACACTCCAAAGCTCTGCCTGACTATTCTAAGCTGTGTTCATTGCTTCTCCTCTGAGTGGGGTGACATCTGGGTCATGGAGGATGCTCCCCCTTTCTCCTTACCTTGGCTTGTCATATAGGTGGCCTGTGCAGAGAGTAATGAAATTTGTCACAGTGCTACTGTGCTATCCTCCTACAAGCACTTACCAGCTTGTAGGGAGGGAATGTAGAACTTCCAAAGAATGTTGTAAGGGGAAGTGGACAGAGGTAGTTGCAGTCTAGACACTCTAAGTCACAGCCTTTAATAGGTCATCTACTTCCTTGTTGCCTAATACCTGTTTTGTGATTTAAGCTTTACCTTGGGAGAAAAAAAGTTTGAAAGGTTTGCCATGAACCCAAGGCCTTAAACCTCAGAGAGCTGGCTAGCTTGAGGAGCCAGAGGAAAAGAAAGAAAAGGGAAGAGAAGAAACTGTCAGGCAAGTACTAAGCATCTTCTCCCTGGACAGAGCTGTTGAAGGCAGGAGAGAAGGAAATTTCAAGGATTTAGAGGCTTGGTTGCCTTGGGGATATAGAGTCTAATAAAATGAATTTCAAGGGCAAACTGAGCTGGCTTATTTTATTGAGAGGAAAGATACCTGCCAGGTCTAGTGTGAGATTATCTGGTTGCTCTCTGTGCACTGGCTTGTTTACTGATAGAGGACACTGTTTTTTTCTATTGCCTACACTACCTTCTCTAAGATAAATGAGGTCAAAGTCATTGGAGCAAGTCCAGAGGAGGCCACCAAGATGATGAGAGGGACGGAGCACCTCTCCTATGAGGAAAGCCTGAGAGAGTTGGGATTGTTCAGCCTGGAGCAGAGAAGGCTTCAGGGTGATTGCAGCCTTTCGGTACCTGAGGGGAGCCTGCAAGAAAGATGGAGGAGACTATTTCCAAGAGCATGTAGTGACAAGACAAAGGGGAATGGCTTCAAACTAAAAGAGAGTAGGTTTAGATTACGTATTAGGGGGAAGTTGTTTCCTGTGAGGTTCTTCTATGGTATTTGGGCTATCTCCTGGCTATTTAGAGGTCTGCTTTGCCTATAAATGTGTGGAGAATTGTCTAAGTTCAATTTATTGATGGACCTAGTACTGTGCCTGCATGGTCTCTACCCAGAGCTGTTGCAGACTTGCTGGGCTGGGTGTGGTCTGGGGACCAGCAGTGCTGCCAATGGGGACACTGGATGCTCTGGAGACATGAGTGGGTTGGGGAAACTGGGGGCAGTGGTGCTTCCACATCATGAGGAAAGCCCTGTGGAATACACCATCAGGACCTTGGGTGCACAGGGCAGCACCTTGGAGCACCTCCAGTGAGGAGCAGCCTTGTGCTGATACAAACTCTAGGAACTGACACTGTGCTCTACAAGTTTCTACCTCCCTCATGTGCTGTACATTAGAATAAGTTGAGCATGTACAGAAATGGAAATTTCTGTTTTTATCTCTGTGAAGAAACCAAATAGTGCTGTACTGTAACATTTGAGCATAGAAGTATGGATACCAATTTTTCTGTATAGGGAGAGTACATAGTCTAATTTACATGTACTCTCCTGCATATTTCAGATCTCTGCAAGACAGATTCAGTTGAATAATGACTTTCTTTTACTGATTCATCTATTTAGAAGGGCATTCACTGTGGGGTGATTAGTGACAGGACAATAGCTTCATCCTGCATCATCATTTACTTTGAAAACTGCTGATATCTCTGTATTAAATGGGTCCAAATATTGCACTGCTGCTGGGGATAGACAGCTGCTTCTGGATTCAGTATATCCTACTGCTCAGAAGGGATTTACACTTAAATTTTTCAATTTGGCATTAAAACATTGTTCCAGATGTATTTTGAAAGGGACAGACTCAAGTTCCTATAATATTTCTGCTGCTTGTTAAAGATCTCCTCTGTGAGTGTTTGTCAGAGGTCTACATAAGATGTACCAAAGGAAAGGTAGAGAACAGAAGTGGGAAAAGTTTCAGGCACACAAGCATTTCTGCTCAAAAACTAAACCTAAAAATTGTGCTTTTCCGATGTAGAAATGGAAGATTGATTGTGACTTGTATAATGTATACAACTGAGGCTGAGAAAATTCAACTCAAAATTTCAGTTTGGGATTCTCAGAGGAAAAATTATCTATTGATAACCCATTGCTGACTCACAGTTATTTTATAAATAATATTAATGATAATAATCATACTTCATACAATAAATTATTTCAGAAGGTTTTTCACAATTGGTTTTCAAATTAGAACAAAGGAAACTTAATCAGATTAAATAATTTTATAGCCGTCAGGGTCTCATTCAACAGGATCTACTAAGGATTGATTCTAAGTCATGTGAATTTTAAATCAATAAGTTTAAAATTATGTTTTAATTCAGTGACATTGGTACTCACATTTTCTGAAATCAAGAATTGTAGTGCTAACCATAAAATACTTTAATATTTGATTGTTGACATCAAATTAAAATCTTTACATGGTATGGCTGGGGGTCTTTTTTGTCTGATAAAGATATTCTGTGTATCCTTAAGCAACCATAAAATAATTCTTTCCATTCTAATATTCCCACTGTAGTAGATTTAGGAAAAGGAGAATTAAATGTTTAATTTCTGGCTCAATTGCCTTTCTGTTTACTCTTTTTATCAAGTTAATCTTGGAAGAAGACTGAAACACAGATTTATACATTCAACAACAGCATTCCAAATAATTTCTAATATGACTTAATAGATTTTTCACACTGAGAAAGTTTAAAAATATTCAGTAAAAGTTGAACTTCAAAGAATTCTGGATAACAGCAGTGAATATGCCAATATAGAAAATCTGTAGGTGCTGGCATTTGGATGAATAGAAAGTTTCTTAATTCAGGGAATTATTTGTTGTATTTTATAAATAAAGAGGAAAATGATAATTTAATTAAAGGTATTTTTCCCCATTCTTTCAATAAAAAAAATTAACTACTGTAACTACTTACAAAAGCTGGATGAGTCAATAAATGATAGTTTAAAATGTCTTACTTTATAGTATTAAAATGAATTATTAACATTTCTTATGTTAATTTCATTTGAAATACAAAATAGGTTCATTTCTATAAGTATAATAATATAATCAGAGAAAAACTTGAAACCTATATTCTAATACTTTGAATAAATTATTTTTCTCTACCTTGTTTGCTTATTACAAATTAAAGTTTAAAAAAATATAAAGCTACCTTATTAAATATAAAGATTGCTGAAACAAAAGAAAATAATAAGTAGTCAGTAGTTATTACAGAAAATTGGTGTGGGTGATTTGGAGTGGGAGCTCAGGTTTCTCATGTCAACAGAAATGTCATTTTTCCTCCTATTGAAACTAACTTAAGAGGTTTATTTCTTGTCTGTCTATACCCAAAATACCACCCTGTGTTTAAACTCAGTGCTGGATATGGGTGTTTAACTGATGCTGGTTAAAAGACTGTTCTGGATGAGGACTTTGGGTGGCAGTAAATCTTCTCCATCCCCACATGTCCTTGAGCTTATTTAGGCCATGAAACTACCAATGGGATGCAAATTCATGGTGGCAAATCCACACCTCCTTACTTCCTTGCAAAGAGTTGTCCTGTGAACTTCAAAGTTATGCTTCCTTTATGTTGAGCCACTTAGATATGTAAACATCTTATAAACTGGAGAGCAATAACTCAAATCTCTGATTTTTTAAAAAAAGTATTTGATAAGCTAGTCTATATACTGCCCCATTTTTAGCACTGGGAGGTTTAATTGGCAGACAGAAGTTGTGGAATATTGTTTTGTTTGCTTCATTTTATTGTTTCCTTTGCTGTTTCTAATGTCAGTCTTTGAGGTTTTGATCAAAGAAAGCTTTGACTTCTTTCTTCTTAAGCTCTTAAGAAACTCGAACTTTAGATCAACCAATTTCATAAACATAGAGCCCAACTCCCTCTTATTTAAAGAAAGTCAGCCCTTCTCAGTGTGGTAAAATGCACCTCTTCAATGAGGAATCTAAATACAGGATTAGAAGTTTTGGTTCATCCAGAAGAATTCTGCAAAGTAACTTTGCAAAATGATGTCATTAAAAAGATGTAGTTTAAAAAGCTATTTCATGTACATTTAAGAGAGATAGAGCTTGACTTTCTTTTCATGATCTTATTAATGTAGTCTAAGTGGAGATATGAAGTTACATTGTAAAAAGACAGGAGATAAACCCACGGGTAAAATGGGAAATAAACGCATTAAGCCCATCTCAGACTGACTGAAGTGCAGAAAGTAAGAAGATTCACTAATGGACCTTTTTATTGTCTTAACTCTTGTAATTTATCCTGAATCAGGCTCTGTTGTTTCACCAGTTGCTTTCATTTTATCCCTTGCAAGCAAAATAATGTGCAACTAACATCTCTGACAATGATGTGATCCAAAACACGTCTGTCCGTTTTCGTGGTTTGTTACAGGATGATGGCATTTGTGCTTTCTTCTTTCCTTCTCCATATAATCAATCTTGACTCCTCTGCTCTTATTGTTTAAAATTGATATGACAAACTGGAAAAAAATACAGAAAGTTTTTACAAGATGAAAGGAATATACATATGGAGTATTTGATTGTACACATTTTGTCTTTTTTACTCAAGTTGTGTACTCCTATTTTAATAGAATTATTATTGAATGACATACTGTGGTCATTGACACGCTGTCTTGGGCTCAGCAAGATAATGACATCAAGGTTCTGTCGGATTAATAAATTATCTTATAAGTTAAAGATTGAATACTGGCACAAACATTCAAGCTAGGTAATGTATTATATTTCTTCTTTTTCATCTTGTTCCCAGTGTTATCAAGAATTCATACCTGAAGATTCTTCACACTTTTTTTTTTTGTCTAGCAATTCATCACCTCATGGACAAGTAGTTACAAGGCATTTTTGAAAGTCCTGCATCAAGCATTTGTTGGCTGCTATGGAAGGTAGGGTCAGTTGGCCACTTCTGATTCCAAAGGAAATGGCATTGACTGCATCTTTTCTTTTATACAATTTGCATCATAGGTGATCCTTTAATAGCATTGCACATCTTGTCTCTTTCAGTGATTTCATCAATTTTTCAGAGCTATTGGCCCCATATAAGTGTAGCAATCATTTCAGTTGAAAGCTTAAGGACAGATATTTTTGGCCTAAGGCAACGTTTTCTTTGTCATCAAAATAAGATCCAGAAACTCCAGTCCTGCACCAAGAACCATTGTGGCAGATAATAAACAAATATATAACAAAAGAATACTCTGTGAAGGACTAATCCACAACCTAAGTAAACAGCTGAAAGGTCTAAGCCAAACAGGTGCCCAGAGGCACTTTTGAAGAAGACTCCTCAGTCTGACAACAAAGCTGTCATTATGGCAAACAATTTCAGGTTATGTTGTAGGTCTATCTAACGACATAAATATTTATTTGTAAATGTTGCAAAGATAATATCAGATTTTTTGTTTCTTATCAGATTTCTCATTTCATATCAGATTTTTACATAGAGGTGTTAAGTCACATCTGTGTGTTTAGCTATACAATATTGATAGCACATTGCAATATCACCATTTAGGTTGTTTGCAAGCTGGAAGGCCACCTAGCCCATTTCTCTTTCACTCTGCCTGTCAGATACATAGGCAGGTGGGGAAATGTTTTCTTTTGAGGAAATTTCTATTACAGAGGTTTCAGTGGTCAATGCTGATGTGAGCAAGAGTTGATTGACTTCCCCTGTGTTTCCTTCTGTGTGCTTTTGCTGCTCATACATACAGGAAAGGGAATAAGGAAATAGGAAAGTATCTCCAAATCTATTGATACAGCATTGGAGAAGAATTCAGAGAGGTTCTTCTTGGAGAAGGCAGAGCTCAGCTGTACAATCTGCTTTGCACAACAAAAGAGCTGGGGATCTTCAGTTACATTCATAAATCTGCTCTCCCAGCTGACATTGATTTAAAGATTAAATTAATACATTTGTCTACATAACAGCTGAAAGTGAGTACATACTCATGTTGATAGGGATGCCAAGTGCTAAGCTAAAAAAGAGGAAGTGTCTTTATTAAAATTAAATCAAAGATGGTAATGCCAACAGTAAGAATAATATTCAAATATCTAAAAAAATTCACAGTAGTATGGAGAGCAAGGTAAATGTTATGCCTTTTTTTACAGCTGAAATACCTACAGATATGACCCACAGAAATGCTACCTATGGAAGCTGTAACAAAAACATCCCCATGTTATCCATGTTGGTTTGGTCACAAATCCCAAACAACACCATGCAAGTTATTACACAGAAAATCATCAGCCCAAACCAGGAAAGGATAAAATCTCCCTCGTCTTTTGAAAATATAGAAGACTAAGAGCTATGGCCTACAGCATTAGATAAGCCTGGAACTGTTACTTGAGATGAAAAATCTTGATATGAGTCTTTGAGCGGGGAACTCCTGATCACCTAGCTCAACTTACTTAGTTTTATCTCTTTTTGTTTCTTTCTCTACATAGACATGTTTTGTTTGTTGGGCTTTTTTGTTTTGTTAGCGTTGCTTTATGGTATAATATTGCATGTTTCATTATGCTTATTTCCAGATGTGCTGTCACTGGCCATGTTGTATAGCTGTGAATAATTAGTATCTGAAATCTCCACTTAGTACATGTGAGAAGTGTGAGAAAAGGATCTTGGGAAGCAGGTGTACAAGCAGGATATTATCTCTAATGTTTTAGTCGCTGGGTTTGTGCTCATGACCCCTTAGTGTTAGAGAGGGCAGAGGTTTTGAAGGAATTGGTAACATCTTTCCTTACACTAGTTGAAATATTTACAATATGGAAAGAGTATCAGGGTCATGAGGATTAATTTAAGGACTTACCTTATCTTCAGTCTCTCAGGGACAGAAGCAAAACCTACAAAAATATTCAAATTATAGATGGTCCTGCATGGAGTCCCTTCCTTTCCCCATGCTTTCTAATTTTGTTTCAATTAATTTATATTCTTCTCCTTTTCTTTCTTTTGATAGTTACTTCATGAATATGCAGTCATAAGGTGTTTTTGTAAGGCCTTCTGAAGGTCCAAGGCTCGCTGTGCATGAGACCGGGGGAGCATGGTTTGTTCATAAAGAGATAAGAGAAAGTGTAAACAGATGGATGCCAAACGTATCCTGAATTTTAAAATCCTGCTGATTGTTCCTTTCTGAAGACTTATCTACTCCTACACCTCAATGTGTCAGTGACACAAGCACCAAAATTTGTAATAATGGGGTATGAGAGGTCTGGTAGATGTGTGGAGGTTGTGAGTGAGACCAAGCAGTATTTGACTTAAGGTTATTTACTGTATGCATTGAGGGAAAATTTGGTTTCCTTATTTTAAACTCAGTGACTGTATGTGTGCTAATAAAAAGTCCCAGAGGTTGTTTCTATATGCTGAGTATGGTTTTGTTTATAATATTGTCACATGAAAAGGGGAGATTTGTTCCACCCCTTAGTGTTTGATAAGTCTGTTAGCTCCCCAGGAAAACTAGGACCCTTGTGCCCAACCAGTGTGTCAATGTCTTGTTACAGGGCCCCTTGACTGAGCAGTTCACTATGTTGAAGGGAGGTTTGACTGACTTGTTTAGGGTCACATGCCTGAGAAACCTTCTCCTGGATCGCCACATCTTTACCCACTGCCAGTGTGCTTGAAGGACTCCCATTAACAGGTGATGGAATAACATTCTTTATTAATATAATTGCAACAGGTTTAAGGACTGATGCTGGTGGTATCTCACTTCAAAAACATATTCAAAGCAATAGAATAACAAGCATACTAACAAGATCTAATCCCTAACAAAAGTTAGCTCAAGATGATCCTTCAGTGTGCGTAGAGTACAGTTCTTACCCAATAGGGGTTCCCTGAGGGGAAGAAGACAGGTTCAGCCTGTCAGCTGATCCCAGAAGTCACAATGGAGTCTTCCCCAACTTCTTCCCATTCTTGACTCACTTCTATACTATTTCCTTACATTTATCTTGAGCTTGAGTGACTTTAGTCATACATCTGAATTACTGAGGGGTGGTCATACCTTGGGGCAGATACCTCCATGTGGTCACACAAGAAAAGTGTTGCATGGGCACATGGGTTAGTCCAAGGAGAGTGATTTCACTACAGCTTCTGATTCAACAGCAGGAATCTTCCTCTGTTTCCCTTGGGTTTCAGCTGTTGTGCAAGTTACTGGCTAGAAAGTACCACTGAGGTCCCTCCTCTGCAAGGATTTTGATAGAGTATGGCCACGGTGTTTCCATTCTGCTCCACCCCTGAGTCCCTCCTTAGACTGTGTTGTGTGTGGGAGGTCGGGTGTACTGACCACGTTCCATCCCACTTTATTTTCCTCTGTAATTTCTGTACTGTTGTTTTTCAGCCCCAGCCATCTTCCCACAAGTGCTCAGCTACTGTCACTTATCTGCTTTGGCCTCAGCCAAATAATATGCTCCCAGACAATTCACAGGCACAGCTTGAAAGTTAACAAGGGCCAAAATGTTTTGGCATATAAAGGAGTTGGGCTATAGAAGTATGTGAAAAAAACCTTCCCAGTATGGACATTAGGTATCCAATGAATAATGTACTTTTGTCAGGAGTCAGCAGAAAAATGATTGTGCAGCTGTCACTTGTCATGGATTAGCCAGGGCTGAATCTAGTGTGGACTCATGAAAGGGTGTTTTTCCACCTTATGTTTTAGTCTGACAAGCAAATTTGATGGATCCCAACAATATTTTCTTTTTAGAACAGGTCATCTTCTCCACTGTGTAGTTTGTGTATCATCATCACCTGTATGAAGATGAAATAATTAAATTAGTGGTGGTTTGGTTTGTTTTCCTATTAAATAATAATTCTTCACATGGAAGATGATCTCATTGCCCTGTTTTGTATTGGTGAGCATTGTAGGTAAATGAGAATAGTAAAGGAAAAATGGGACCCTGTAGAATTTTGACAAAACCTTGTACTACATCTCCCATGATGCACTCACAGCCCCGTCTGCTGCCTCTAGCACTCACCTGGCTGCCTTTCCTGATTCATGACTGATGACACCTGCTAGGAAACATCTTTTCAAGCAGGCGTTTTCCTGCATAGCATTTTGGTCGAAATCCTGTCTTTAAAATCTTTTCAGGGCTCTGTGATTTTGAGAGAGGAGCCAGGGTAATGGTTTTAATTTGTCACTGTGCTCTGAAAATGTTCTGCAGCACAGAGGAAATTCTGCCACCTGCCGCTAATGGACAGGGAAATAGAGTTCTGGTGACTAATCTGCAGCGAATAGCACATCTTAGGAACAGAGTCCAGGTCGTGTGTCCCCTGCCAACTATGCTAGAATTGCTGACTGAAAGGTGAAAGGCTGCAACCGTGAGATGACTGGCCCTCTTTTTTTAGCAGTGATTAACATTCCTGAAAAGCCTGCCCAGGCTTAGGGCAGGTAGTCATGATTTACCACCTCTGAGGATCTTTATGCAAGGATTTACATGGCAACTGTAACAAGCTCAGATGCCTGAAACCTTGACATTTGACCTGCATTATTTAAAATTCTCGCATTAATTTAAATAAGGAATATTCCTAAATGTTTTTACAGTAATAATATGGAGGTATATAATTTCTTCTGGAGGACGTGAACTACTGGAAAACCTCACTGAGGCATTGAACAATTGTATTAAAAAAGGAAAAATCAAACCTAGAACTGAACTTTCTAATTCAATTCCTTCCTGGAGTGGCACAACAGAGCAGTGGCTGTTACTGCATCACCCAAGTTTCCCTGCCTGCAGTGGTTTAGCTTTCCTGCCTCCAGTAATGAGGTACCTCCCATTCCAACGCAGCAATGCTAAATTTAGGCCCTGCACAGTGCACTATTCCTATATTTAGTGCTGTAAAAGTCAGAATTCAGCAAGGAACTGGCTAAACGATGAGGTGTTTTGCAGTCCAGGAGACAGAAATAGAAATACAGCAAAG